GTACAGTAAATTCACGACTCAGTATGAAAGTCACACTGAACTACTTATCAAGCATAGCAATAAATGGTGCCACAGCAAATAATTTATTGAATGTAACGTTAGGAAAGCGCCACACCTTTAAATAGTTAAACTGTACAGTAAATTCACGACTCAGTATGAAAGTCACACTGAACTACTTATCAAGCATAGCAATAAATGGTGCCACAGCAAATAATTGATAAATATAAATTTGGACTTTGTCCACAGATGTAAAATCTAGAATAAAATGACTCAGGATTTGGTTATGGGATTGATTCTCCATACTATCTCTTTTCCCATCGAGTTTGCCTAGCCAGAAAACTGAAATGAATAAAAAAAACTGAAAAAGTTCTACTAAAGAGTTTAGTTTGTAAATTGAAAACTAATAATTCATTGCGAAAATACAGCAGAAGATCGCGATTTCATTCGCTAAAGGTTACACCATTATTACTTCCATAGTCTCAAAAGTTACAACTACCTTGTACAGCATATTAAACAGTAATGTATTAAAGCGCACAGAAAGGTTTCATTTGAATTGCGTTATTATAGTTGTTTCCTCCACAGATTCGAAGGTTAAAAAACCTGTTGCCTTTCAGTTTTCAAAAACCTGTGGGACTTATATAACTATAAATCCTTACTATTTTTCTTGATCTCAGACAGTGAGAGACAGGCTTTCAAAATGATTAAACGTGGCTTTCGTCCGCAAAGCAAGTAGTAATGAGGACAAATTGTTTTAGAAATGGTTAACTGGTTCTCCGAGGCTTCATCCTCAGTTATTTCCTGTATGGAGTGGGGCAATTTATTCAAATTTATTCCTCTGGCAGTGGGTTCGTCCTGCTGTATTAAGCAATTTATGCTGTGATGTTCTCTTGGTCAAAATATTAAATAACTTATGCATAATGAAATTGAGTCTTTCTTCGTCTCATTTTTTAATTGATCAGTTTGATTTCCAGGAAAACCAAAATGAGAATATAAGGAAAAATTCAAAACTGCATCTTGCAAAGTGTCCCGAAGGAAAAGAACCACTGTTAATAGCTTTCATTTGCGTGGTGTTCAAAAGCGAGAACAAGATTGTATGTCTAGTAGATAATTGACTGTTTGGAAGAGGAAATGTTGAATGTGCCTATAACTACTGCTGTCCCTTTCATCAGCGAATTTGCGTTAAAAATTCAATGTAGATTACTCGAAAACTTTGGAGTATAATTCGCTCTTGATGCAGCAACTTTGAAAACAATGTGATAGCATTTCAGCCAATTTTCGAGAAGTTAGATCCTTGTTTGATTGCAGCGTTTTTCTTATTTTGGTAATGAAATTTAATCCCCTTAATTAAAAATTAGGTAAGACATCGAGAAAGACAGTTTTAAAGAGAAGCCGAATTGTTAAACAAGTGTTGCTCTTGCTACGCGAAGAAATCGGTGATATCTAATAGAAATGTAGTGAGAAACAAAGTAATGAACGGACAGCCTGTGAGAGCATCATTATAAAGTAATTAATAGACTTTAATGAAACTATAATTTCCGAACGCGTGGCCAAGCGCCTATGTAAACAATAAATCATCAGTGTGCGATTAATTATACGAGGAAGTCTTTGCGGAGGTTACTTTACGACCAAATATGTCGAATTCTTTTGTCCTAGAGGGCTACTTAGATACAGGCAATTGTTTTGCTTCAAAAGCTGTGTCTAATTGTGTAGAGTCCCAAAGTTCTTTTTGTTTTTTGTACTGTGCTCCTTGCGATTGTGGCCTTCTTTGATTTATTGATGTATTTCATTTGTCAAAGAATATCAGAGCAACTATCATGCACTCATTTCTCTATGTGAGTTTGAAATGCTCGGTAAACATTTGTCGGAGTGTGTTTCATGTTTATAGAATGGTACTGTTTTTTTAGGTTCATTCGCGTAATACGAACGTTGAAATCTCCGGACAACTTCAAGTGTTTTTCAAGTTTCTTTGGGTTTAACGTAAATTATATCAGGTGTGCATTTGATTTTCATTAATTAAGCCATCTCGAAGGAAGAGTTCTTTTAACGCAGATAAAAAAACCTTAATTATCTGGACACTGACAATGAAGTGGTTGTTGAAATTCAAAGATTTCTTGCCTTTGATTGGCTTTCTGAAGCATTAAAGAAAGGTGCGAAATTGTAAATGGATTTTCCAACGCCTGTTGAATTTGCAAAATAAATAAGTCTTGTTTTTCCACGAGTCTTTCGGTACCAAAACGGCGATTCATGTCGTGCAGGTTTTGTTATTCTATTTATTTTTATACTTTATTTATGTATTTATAAGATGACATGGTTCCTTTACACAATTTTGTCACTAACGATTGCAACGCGATTTTCTTGATGCATTTTTCTCTTTTGACAAGTGAGATCCCCTGATGGAATTGCGTGGTTTTCACTTGTTTTCTTCACGGAAATTAGGGTATAACTGTCTTTAGTGACCACATAGGTCACGTTTAACAGTTACAGTTAAGTAAAAATGAAAAAAAGAAAGAAAAGAAAAGAAAAGTAAAGTAAAAGACCTGTGAAAGAAAAACATAAACACTTAATCGTGTCCACAGAAGGATGGAGAAAACTATGAGTAAAAGTTAAGGTATTTCTTGTTCGAGTAAAGGATGAATTCATTGAGGTTACATTAACAAAGGTCTCGATGCGCTCGTTTCCTCGAACAACACAAACTCTGTTCCTGCCGCTTTTTTCGAAATGATATTTTTGTCTTCCGGTTTAATAGAATTAAGAGGAACTTATTGGCTAGAAAGTGGTTTTAAAAACTGTTTTATCAATGCTGCCAAATTACACCAGAGAGTAACTGGTTAACCTTATATGTCGCAGTCTGGTTTTGTCACTGACTCTAGGGCTGATATTCAGTGAAATGGCTATTTGATAAGCAATACCAGTGTGGTTTTGATCAGTTTTTTTAAGGATTTTTAACCATGATAGATTTTTTTTCCTGTTAACTAGAATTAGAGAACAAAGCTCAACCTTTTATATATTAGAACTTCAGATGTATTAATTCTAGGGATATATTCTCAGTATGATGTGAACTCTTGAATGAAAGCTAATGAGTAATACTCTTTGTAATTCTGATTGGCTCGATCACAATTTGCAACTAAAACGAATTTTTGCTCTTCACTTCTCGATCCTGGCACTGCATTCAAAGCACAAGCTGTTCTCTGCGATCAAATTCTCATGTTATTCACTCTGCGAAATGCACGTTACCAGAGGCGATAGACAAGGTATTAACCGCGCGTCTTTTTAAGCAAATGCCTGTGTCAACATTCTTTTGTTTGAGGCGAGGCGAAAGAACAATGAATTGGGTATAATAATGAAACACCAAAAAATGTAAAACAGAGTAAAACGGCGTTCAGAACAAAGCTGTTAAAAAATCGTTTTCCCTACAGAAAGTTTTGGACTGGTAGACAATATTAAGCTCAATAAATCTGGTACTATGATGTAAAAGAATTAAGTTATTTGTAAGGTTTCCTTGTCTCTCTGCGTTAGATTACGTTCGGTCTTTCGTATGATAAAGAACGGATATTGCTTTCTGATCTTATAATAATCGTTAGTTATTTTTCAGCCGTGGAAAATAATTGCAGTATCTTTCACGCCGAGGTTATATGTTATTCGGCTGGCAGGTGTTAAAAATGATTAATACTGAACACGCGCTTTTTTTGTGCTCCCACGCGGCTTGACTAAAGCAGAAAACCAACCCACGATCGTAAGACATAAAAATGTTCGCCTCTGAACAGGAAATTTTCTGTGAAAAAGAATTACTTGATCATCGCATTACTGTTAATGATAAAAAGATTTGTTCACCGTCCGGGCAATATATCAGATTGCGCAAAGAAAATGAGCAAAGATTGCACGGCTCACAGGAAAAACAACTAATCAATCGAAGTTCAGTAACTAGGAAATAAATTTACTTCGGCATAACTAACTTGTATTTAGCCCAGTCACTTCACGGGAAAAATGGCAAGTGAGGTACGAAAATTATGTTTCCAAGGGCAACCGTTCGGAAAATGTTACATTGGAACTGATGGTAATTTGCCACTAGGAAAACTGAAGGTTTGTTTCGACATCTCTCTTATGAGTTTGCAACATGTCACTCTTAGCCGTCAGAACTCTTTTGATTTGAGTAAATAAACATAGGACACGTTGCGCGTTGTTCAAATTACGACGATAGGTTTTTTCAAGCCAAACACGACAAATTTTATCCATTTTTCCCAAGTACACAGTTTATGTTTAAGAGTTCCTTAATCGTTTATTCACCCGGGGTTCTAGTCTCATTAAAATCTATTTTTCTTTCACTTTATCGTGGTAACCACACATAAAAGACTTTATGAAAAGAATAAAAGAATAGTATCAAGGTCGCTATGTTTCCTGAACTACCAATACGCTTAATAAAACTGTTTGTTTAACAAAACCACAGTCGCACAATTCTAACTTGTTATGTTACGCATTTAGCAGAAAACAAGAAAAGCTTAGGAAAATTAAACAACCTTTTTTTGGTAGCTTAGATAAAAACTTCACAGATTGTACAGACTCAGAAATGCTGATAAAGTGACTAAGATTAACCCTGTTGTGAGTTTTTTTGTTAGGAAGGTCACCGAGTTATAGAATTAAAAAAGAGAATTTATTTGGCTAATCTGAACGAAATAATCGACCTCGGTTTTCTTTGTTGGTACACTTGAATATGTTTGGGCCGCAAATATGTCAGTGTTTCATTGAAAACAAAAATAATCGTTGCCGACAAAGGGAAAATCATTACGTGACAAGCAAATAACAAAGCGACGGAGTTGGACATTGACGGGGAAATGACCCAACTGCTAAATCTGAAGGGAGTAACAATGAATAAAAAAACGAGACAAGTCAAACATTTACCGAGTGTCAAAAAAGGTGAAATGTTTAGCATGAAAATACAATTTCCATTAACCAATCATTTGCAAGCAGGAGTTTTTGCCTTTGGCGCTTGTGAATTTTAATTGGACGAAGTCAGTTTTTTGGGAAGATACTATTGTAGCCTAGTTTATAAAGGGTCTCCATCAGAACCTAAGTTCACTTGCAAGTTCACTTAGTCCATTTCTTGTTCCGCCGTGTAGGAATCCAACGTTCGAAAGTAAGCATCTTTACGAAAAAGAAAGAAAACTTTAACTCTGTTTCCAAAGGTAAGCCCCTTTTCGCATTCTTCCGTTGCAGGATTTTTTACTCGTTGAAATGATTGTCTATGTAGTTGTTCGAGAGCTGAGAGATCTGTAAGAACTATCAAAGACCTCAGTAATAACAGCACCGTTTAAACTATATACATATATATACTGGGAACGGTTACAAGCGCCTTAAAGCAAATACGAAGTCCTTTGGTTGTTAAATGTTTATAAGTTTACCGCCGTTTAAGTTTGAACAGTGAGGAAAGAAAACAGTTGTTAAAGTCAATTTTGACTCATGCCCTAAAAAATTCACAAAATCATGCCGACTGAATACGCAGCTATGAGATGAAGAGCGAAGAGGGAAAGGGAATTTATTTTTTTCTCGAAAGCAACAAGAAAATTGTTAAGTTACATTTATTTCGCGCAAGCTACCGAAGCGTATGTATCATTAGCCTGTGGGTAAACATGCACTTTCCTAGCTTCCTCGCTGTGAAATACGTTTTCTGTTAGGGCTGAGTCCAAGCTTGTAATGTTTAAGCAAGCAATTTTGTCCAACTTATTGTGTTTTCATTTTCGCTCAGTCCAATATTTGAACTGTTTTGTTGGGCCGTGTTTGCAAATTTGATCGGATTGTGTGCTGAGGAAAGCTTTCTATATACTCAACTAAATAGGAGAAAACACAGAGGGTTTTAGAAGTCGAACAAACCGGCTTCCAGCGTTTGCGCGTGATGTCGCATTTTAACATACCACGAAATGGAACGGTTAGAGACGGAGGACGGTGTCGACGTGTTGAAATAGTTAGGGTATGATCTTGTTGATGTGCTACTGCTGGGTTTGACCTTTAAAGGGATTAGAGCCTCAAAGAGGCTGATAAGTGCTTCATAATTAAGCGCCTCGGGGCAAACAGACAACTTTACTTTTTGTCATCGAATCTAAGGATCACAATCCAATAAAACTGGAGTTATTTACGCCCAAAGTTTGGTAAATAGGCGTCGACTCTTCAACCGTGTTTCGTCTGCTGTACTCCAGATTGCACGCCTAGCAAGCAGCGTATGAATTTTAAATTGCGCCGGGAAGGAGTTTTGGTCGATTGGTGGGTGTTGTAGTTCGTTTTCTCAAGCGCGCAATTTAGTCGGCTTAGTATTTGCTGACATTTTGCCGGATACCTCAAATATTTAGCGACCTCTGTATAAATTGCGGATCACTATCTTTACACTTATCATCGCGTACTTCAGTAGCCTGAATAACCTACCATAGAATTTCACGAATTTTTCCCTTTCCTGAACGCGGAAAAGCTGTCAAACATAGGCTTAAAATACCCCCCAAACTCTGCCCAAAATAAACCTATCAACTGCCTTTTATCACGCTCTTATAAACGCCTCCTAAATGGATTTCTTGAAAAGTAACTTCAACTGTGAAATATTCAGTTAATCGATACTCTGTTCTTTCTGTATAAGAATAACAAATAGTCGACGGTTAGTTCTACAGATGACTGCTTTGTAAACTAGGAATTATTTACACCATTTCTTCAACTATTTGGAGGAACGGATAAGATTGTTTGGGCCGTGTTAACAGATTTTAATCCCGGACAAATGACCGAGTTGCAAGAAAACTCAGCCGGGTCGTTCAAGATATTTCCATGAAAATTTATTTAGCAAACTTTTTATCTGACCCGGCCGAGGTATTACCACGCCATTGTTTACCTTTCAAAAGTCGCGGAGCGACATATTAAATTTTAAGCTCATTTTCCAAACATAAGGGAAACTTTCCAAAGTTGACAGCTTTCTTCCTTATTAGAAAAATGAAATAACCTATTTATTTCGCGAATACCTAAGGCAAAAAGGACCGAACATTTTTAATATTTTCGCGGCTTTTCGGTCAGTTTGATTCTGGGTAGATGATATTAAATTTTGGCGGGACAGAACTGCAGTAGCGCCGAAGAGGAGTAAAAATTAATGAAAACTTTACAGAAACTCGCACAATCGGGAATAAAGTGGCCCCAATTAGTTACACGTTTCAATAGGTCGTCGGCTGTCGAGCATTTCCTATTCTTATTGATGAAAACGAACAAGTTTAGCGAGATTAGCAAAAAACCAACATAAGCAAGGTTATAACGCGAGGCCTCATTGACAGGTGTGCCACACAAATTAAATTTAACCGCAAAATTCGATTCCTCTCCAGTGCAGGACCAAAGCCTGCGAAAAATATCATGGAAGAGATTTTTCTTAATGAATGATGAATGCTTTAGGGGACCGAGACGCCTTTTATTCCAATAAAGCATTTTTGGGGTTGTAACCATCACGCAAGGTCACTTAGAATTTCTAAAGAAAGCCGACGTCCAAAGAATGATGAGCGTAATTGGGGTGATTTTTTTCTTTGAAAAAGTTCGACTAAACTAACGGCTTAGTACAATGAAAAGAATTGTAGTGATTAATAGTGTGGCCAATTAAATTCGGAATCGCGAAAGGGAGGATTTAAACGTGTATGCCTTGCGTGTCGTAGTATTAGAGTCCTTAGTTTAAGAGGAATTGTCGTTCCGAAGTCGTTTTTAATCCTTGTATGTCACGTTTGAGCATTTGAGCCCTCTTCAGTATTCAAATCTATTAACTCTATCGATTCATGCTCAAGAAAGATCTGCATAGACTATTCAAAAGCACTTTCCTGTTCTGAGACGGATAAGGCAATAGCTCCTAAATTGCGGCAAACAGTACACAATGCAAGCCATTTCGAGAAACAGATAATGTTGCCGGCATTGAGCAAACACGATAAATTGGGCATAATTGAAACTACTCCACTGGTTCGGGAATTGTTCAAAAGACTCTTTACGGAGTAGAAAGATCGTTAATACTAGCTAACAACCCGGGCGCAAACATTTAGAAAGGGAATCCTTAAACACTGAAAATCGGAAACAACCAAATAATATATGTTTGCAAGGCCTAGCAGTGTTAAGTTGGTTGGTCAATACATCATCATCACTGATCATCAGTTCGATTGCTCATTTCATGAACAAGAATGCGCCCTATAGCGTGCTATAGAACAAAAGGTGAATTTCTATTCCATTTGACGCTCTGCGGCTCTCCACGGGGTCATAGAAAACTTAAGGAAATGGAAGTTAACACTTCTGCTCAGGTCTGGCAAGTCAATGAGTACATCCAAGTCATTTCAAAAGCTCGCGGCGAATATAATCTCGCTTCATCTACAGCTGTCATTAGAGGCACCTGGATATAGCCTTTGTGAAATGATTGACGCGAGGCGAATTTGTTAATTAATTGCTTCGGCTTCCGGAAATGAGAAATTGGATTTCTAAAAATTCTGCATTTTTCGCTCCTGTCCCACGCGCTCTATCAACCGCAGAAAAAGTTGATGATTTATATCGCGATGCTGCGCGCGTGTTGACCCACAAGAATATCCTAAATAAAAATATTGACTGTGCGTGCAATGCGCTAAAAAATCGCTCGCCAAGCGTTCCCGAGTTATTGATTCTTACAATTAAGCCACATGATTGGTCAGATTTGACAGCAGTTTAGCAAAACTTATTAAATGAAATTCGGATTTTTTTCTGTGTGTTTTTCTCTTAATGCGCGTTTTCTCGGCCGCCTCATAATGAGCCTTGCAGTTAGAACAAAACCGGCGCACACCCATCACCTTTTCACTTTTAATCACAAAACTTCCCCAACATCTAAATTCAAGAAAAGAAACTAAACCAGTGAAAAACAAACGGTAGCTTGCTAGTACTGTTGAAGAGGTTTTATTTGAATGGTCGCACCGCCGAGAATTTCGGCCACAGTCAAAAGTAAGATCGTCATCGAATGGCTCCAAAACTAACTTGCTCGTGCGAGGGTACTGAGTAGATTTTACACATGGAGGGTAGCAAAATTTCATGGCACTATGAAACCTAAACAGGTGCCTTGATTCTCCTTTATTTAGGAATACACTTGTGCTCAGACGGCCCAAAAATATGCTCGGAACAGAAGAAAGAGAAAATTTTTCGGAAAGAAAATGGAAAATTCCGGTTTCCAGTGGTAATTGCTTTTGTTTGTGGAATTTGTGTCCGCAGTTGTTATGCTAATTGTGGGGACCAACAGTAAACTAACATGGCCTAGGTTACATCTTCGCTCCAGAAGAATGTTAAGCGCACGCTTTTTCTGAGCGGTCAGTATTGACGTGAACCATTTGATAAGTCATATGCTAAATTAGATGGCTTTTAAGGTGTTGTGTGGTGACGGAGGGCTTTTACCGCCTATATCTACCTCTCCTTCCTGTCTTTTAAGAAATATCAGCACCTCAACATTTTATGTTTAGTTTGTCCCGCGCGAACGGTGATCTTTGTCTAGTGTTGACATTAAGGATGCGAGATAGGAACGAATCATAAAGGGTCCTATCGAAATAATTGTATTTGCTCATAAATTATGAAACGGCAATTTGTTTGTAAGCCTTCGTGATGGACAAGCGATAATGGACCCCACAACTTTTAATAAAATGGCTCCCCACGGGTGGTCGCAAAGGCCCTTATGTCAATAAACGGCGAAAAGGCTCCAAAGGGCTTTCCCATGACACAAAAGGGGGGGCGGGGCTAGTAGACATGTCACGTTAAGCCTGTTTACGCACTGTCACTAAAAATAAAACTTCTTTATTGCTAGGAAGAAGGAGTAATCTTCGCTAGTCTTCGCACAAGAAGGACGGTTACAGGACAGTACGAAACGTCGCTGCACTCATTTACGAGAGAGTCTTAAATCGACGCGATCTGCGGAGGAATCAAGTAAATTCGATAACATGATGGAAGCAATGAACCCCTGTAATCCAGCGGCCGCTTTAGGAGTTGGAAACCCTCAAACGCAGGGCCATCCCATGGACGACGGAAAGAGCAAGCAAGCGAAGGAGAAAGTGTACCGCCGTAGTTATACGCATGCAAAGCCTCCATACTCGTACATCTCACTCATCACGATGGCCATACAACAATCTCCCAACAAGATGCTGACGCTAAGCGAGATTTATCAGTTTATAATGGACCTGTTTCCGTTCTACAGACAAAACCAACAACGATGGCAGAACTCCATTCGGCACAGTCTTTCCTTCAACGACTGTTTCGTCAAAGTGCCTCGCTCGCCCGACAGACCCGGCAAAGGTAGCTACTGGACACTGCACCCCGACTGCGGCAACATGTTCGAAAACGGTTGCTATCTCCGGAGACAGAAGCGCTTCAAGGCCGATAAAAAGCCCAGCCTCAGTGATCTTCCTAAACCAGGCTTGCTCAGTCCCGTCGTTTCGTCGATGCACCATCAGAAAGTCCAAGGACCTAAGAGTCTAGGGGCGCCTAGCTTTCTTACACCGTCTCCCTACAGCGCCATGACTGCTATGGGTGCAATGGGAGCGATGGGTATGGGCGCAATGGGGTCCATGTCTATGAACAAATCTTTCAACCATCCATTCGCCATCAAGAATATCATAGCGTCGGAGCATGAAGCGGATCTCAGAGGCTTCGATCCTATGCATTTCAGTCCATACCACCCAGCGGGAATGTCGTCTTCAATGTCTTCTCTAGGACTGCCTAAACCATACGATTCGAATCCCATTACAACAGAACCAAGTCCGTACTACCAGGGATGTGTGTTTACGCCGTCAAGTTGCGCGGGAATCGCCGGCTTTTCAAACCTATCATAAACTGAACATATTTATCCAATCTCGGGACTATAGGAACGTTTAAATTATGCCCAGGGCGCATTGGGCGACCTGCAAATTGAGTTTTCTCTAATGATACAGTTTGCCAGTGTATATGAATTCAGTACTTAAAATCCAAGGTGATCTCGTTGATTATTTGGCAAATAGACAATTTTCTTCTCGCCTAATACAAAGAAATTGTAGCGTTACAAATCAGAAACTTTTATGAACGATAAAGAAAATTATATTAAGTGTAATATAGATTGTACTATTTTATTCAGTCGCCTGCCTGCGTAACTGTGATTATCAAATAGCGGAGTATTTTAACAAGAGTAAATGTAGAGAATCAAAATATTTTGAAAGCGAATTATTCTAAAGACGTGATCGTTTAAGTTAAGCTTTGGGCTATAATTCAAAATTTTTAAACATGTTGCGAATGGAAAACGTCGAGTCAATTTAGTTAGTGGTTTTAACTGTTGGGCAAACGATTTAGCAAGAGTACTTCCAGCCGACCGAATTATTCGGTACAGACTGCTTAGCCAGTTCGGTGGTTAGCGGTTCGCGTATCAACTGTGTATTTAACACTACATTTATCATTATTTATATAAGCAGGGAAAGGTTTTGTAAATTTACAGTCTTGCCCAAACAGCAGTTTGTTAGTTCAATGAAATAAATTTTTAACGAACAGTTCCCCTGACGTATGTATTGTCTTGTGTCGCTCCCATGTAAAATAAAACCTTGGGGTAGTTGAGAAACGTAGTCAAATTAATTATTTATCGGCTGGCAGGGTGAACGAGCCCTCAGCTTTCAGATGCAACCTCTTTTTAATTAAACGTAATCAACAGGACGACATTCGTCGCAACAGCTTTGACAAATACTTGGCAAAGTGAGTTATAAACTTGTAGAGATTGACGCGTAGCAAACCTATCGGTATTCGTACGCGCCTTGGTAGAAACGTGCCCTGTTTGCGGTCAGGTTGCAAATACACCAGTGGCAGTTCCATTACGACGTGCGAAAACTACTTTACAAGCAGTAATCGAATTTGAGAGACTTTTTCCTGGATAGAAACAGGTAGTAAAGGTGTCAAAACCGTTCGCCGAAAGACAAGCGGTCCCTTTGAAAAAATACGCATCTGCCATCCCTTTCTCTAATTTTCAGCCGTTCGTTTTCCTTTTCCCTCTTTCGCTTGGAAAAGAAACGATCTGAGAGAAATTGAATTCTTAGAAAAACTCCATAGTAAGTTTACTTTTCAATGATGCGATGATAGATTAGGGTCACTTCCAATGTCCGTTTGCTTTGCCCCGCATGTCAGGCCAGCTACCCTGCAACTAACTTTCAAAACAGTCAAACATCGAATGAATAGCTATAGCAGTCAAAGGGGTGATCTTTCGTAAACTTTTAAAACTTATGTTTGAAGAAGTGCATGCTCTTTTGGAGGATCAAATTTCTTGAAAGGGTTCTTAACAGCTCAAAGTTGGCTGATGTTAGTTTAAACAGTGCCCTATATACACAGAAAGCTATACATTATTGGTACAAAAAATCATTGAATGATTGATGACAACGTATAGCTCACGAGGCGCTGTGCGGAGCGCCGTTGTCGGGATGACGGCGAGAATTTTGGCTAAACCATCAGCTAAACTGCCGCGTGGTGCTTTCAAGAAGGCTAGAACAGTGGATGCCGATTTCAGGTAACAATAATATCTGCTTCAAATTCAGTTGTTGTTTCAAGCGGGAGCGAAATTTCCGTGGGAAAGTGCGGTGTAACCTTTTGAGTTCTCGTGAGGCGGTGAACGCTTTTTAGTCACAGCATCATGTTAGTGCCTCTTTTATTGTAATCACGGTCTCTATTGTTTCTGTGTTTCGGACGTTCCTCAGATCTTACCCCAGTGCAATGTCGGGCTCGATTTTATTCATGTTTTTAACCGTTTTCGTGGCTACTTTTAGCCGCTGTTAAGCTGTTTGTTTCGTTTGTTTCGTCACGTAAGCGGATTATTTCTGAGCGGACACTCGTCAATGAACCACAACGTAGATACATCAGTCAGCCGTTCATTTGAATTCACATTCGCCCGTAAATTTCCTCGGCCTCAGCGTCTTGATTAGGTGACATTTTGATCACCGCGGATATGCTCTTGATTTGAATAATTCAGCCGCAAGAAAGCCGCGTGATATTCGTTAAGTAGCTCTGCTTAAAACACTGCCGAAATGATTCGTTTTACACTGGTGGAACGATTAACTTTAATCGTCCAGAAAGCTCCCGCTTCAGATCTAGAGACAACAACACACATGTTCAGGTACGTTTTAATATTGCGTGCTTTTTAAGATTGATTTATATTGTCCCACCTTGCGATGTATATCGTGTTTTGTCACACGCCATGAAATAAGTTCCGTGTCAGACTTGCCTCTCGGTCACAAAGAAGTTTCCAAGCATTGTTCAAGGAAAGAGAAAGGGGAAAGAAATCGCAGCATCATTAACTATATAATATATTTATCACCTAAGGTCGGCAAAATGAACGTTCAGTAAATCCGGAAGATGCTATTGAGCGATTGTAGCACTGACCGCCTTTTACTTAAATGAAAAACGCATCTAACTGAGTGAATTTCGTTCAAAGTTACCAAGAAATCTGCTACAAATATTCGCCTCAGGCGTTTTACGAGGGGAGAGAACTTTAAGAGAGTTTCGGATGATTTTTACTGTTGCGACTAATTTAAAATCGCTTTATTTCGCAACCGGTTATCAAAGGCTCCGAAATCTTTTAATGAAGCAAGTCACACCAACCCTAGCGAGGCGGCATTTTGCTCTTAGTTTTAAAGGAATTCAATCGAATTTGAAAATGTCGGGAAGAAGCAATGTTTGTATGTTGATTTGGGAACAATGGTCTTTTGTTCTACATATATTAGGGTCCATGAGCTATAATTACGGGACGCACGTTAGATCCAAAGTTGTAGCCATCAGGTTATTTTTTTGTTTAACTCTTTCACTGTAGTTCAGGCCGGAGTGCCCATAAAAAACTCATAATTTCATTTTCTAAAACTCGAAGAAATTATTAGCACCATGTGGAAGTACTACTGTTGAGGTTTCATTTGAATGGTAACACCACGGTATAGCATTTTGCGCCACATAGACTCAGAAGTTTTAATTTCATTCATGGCTCGATATACAACTGCCTCTGCCAGTAAAATAATTCAAGCAAATTTTTGTCCATGGTATGTTAACAGAGCACACACTCATCTCTTACAACTGCCTCTAGCCTTCAAGTAAAAACATTCAAATTGTTATGTTTATTGGCGGGTTTATGTATTTAACTTTGCTAGAAATCGGTACAAGAAGAAACTCATTTCCCTATTTAAATCCCCTTGAATTTGTACGGTGTAGGGCTAGGAAAGTTGCGGATTAAATTAGGTTATTTTATATTAAGAAAACTTAAAAATAACCGAAAGGAATGCTCAAGAGTTGGATGCAAAGCGGGACATTTTCAGTCGTGGCGGGATGCATTTTTGATACCATGAGCCTCCTCTTGAATTTTATTAACTCGCCTTAATTTCTCTTGGTTTACAAATCGTTTTTTCTAAAATACATCGTCTTCAGTTTTACTGAACTGCAATATAAGTCGCAAATGGACGATACAAGACAAAAATACATATCTTGATAATTTTACAGGCTTCTATCTTGAATTTCATTAGTTAATGTACTTTCTTAAGAAGAGAGGGCCAGCGGGGATTTTAAAAAAAGCATTTTCACTGAGAAAATTCAGCGTATATACCGCATTCAAGTTCTGCCAGAAACTCCGGAAGAACTCGAAAGTATGGCAGTTAAAACATCTGTAAAGCTGCTTTGTGATAAAGTATCTGCTTTCTAGAACTAAAATGAGAGCTGGTACCGTCAATTTACTCGGCTACCCTTCTACTCCGATCTTATCTGAATTTGTCTGACGTATTTTATTGGGGACGCGACTTACTGCAAACCCGGGACACTGACGTTAGATGCCGGTTGCCTTTCATCAAGGATGCGTTTAGATAGATTACTTTTGTAGATGGCTCCAAGATGCTTACGAGGTCATCCACTAAGTTTGGCTCGCGAAATAGGCGTGTAAATTCATCCGGTAATGAAATCTATGTTTTGTTGTCTTGCTCAAGAGGTTCTTCAGTACACGAAACCCGAAACTAAGTCGATATTTTCCTAGAATATTTCCTAGGCACGCGCCTAGCTTGAATTTAGGACGAGTACATGATTATTAATCGCTTTACGGTGAGCAAACAACTCGCGGCCACCCATATTGAACAAACCAAGCCGGCCTTGCTCTCCGCGCGCTTCCCACCGCATTGCGATGAAACGTATTTTTGTTAAGGTCAAAAGCTTGTTTAGCTTTCTAACCTGAAAAAATATGCGTGATGCCAAGCCTCAAAAACCCCTTCCCTAGCATATGTCGTTTCGCTCATGTTTCATTTCCAAAAGATTACCTATCAGCCAGGAAGGAAGTTTAGAAAATGAACTGAGGAAATAGCGGCATTAGGAAAGGAGTGGTTTTGCAAACTTAACGATGCGGTCTGTTAAACAGCGTGACCGCTGTCATCGAGGTCCTCGAGTTATCAGAAATATTTGTGATAACAGCAAACCACGATTTTTCTTGTCGCCGACGACGAAAACGCCAAGGAATATTTCAGTAGTTTCGAGCGAAATAAGAAAGAGTTTGAGCACTGAAAATAAAACGGTCAAGTTTGTTTAAAATTTATAGAGATTCTATAAGGTTTCGGAGGTTAGTGTTTCCAAACGTGGAGTGTTGGTGGCTATTGCTTTCTGTCATGTTTAACTAGCAATGTTCTTCAATGTTTTCTCTTGCTAGTAAACAGACACAGTACTGGCCGAGAAGAGCAGTTTACAATGCGAGGCAAACTGACTCTACTTGATGAGATAAATATTTGCTTGCTTTACATTCAACTGAACGAAAATACCGATAAGTACACAACTCGGTTAAGCTGAAGTATAAATGCTCCTTGTGTGTTGTGCCACTATGAAGCCGAGAAGCGCCCGGCCCGCTTTTGTTTTATTCAAATGATGAGGGCGACTGAGAAATTTCCGCTCTTTCAGATCGACTTAAAGTTAATGGGTCGCAAAGAAACGCCTCAACTTAACCTCTTCAAAAGCCTTGAAACATTTAAGGTTTCTAATATGTTGTTTCTTTTTTCTCTGTGGTTTAGAGGTTGGATGAGAGAGGACTTTATCGTTCTTTGAAGAGAACTCGAGCTGCGTTGAAATTGATACTGTTGTAGTTATGGCTGCCGTTCTTACACGTGGCTAAATGTTGGACAAAAGATCTTAAAAGCCCTTGTAAGAGAAATGGTTATGTCGATATTTATCAAGTGATGTGGGCCATGTCATTACGGTATGAAAACTAACCAAAGTTAATCTCATAAACTTTGTTGTCTATGAAATAGATCCATTTGTTGCCCGAGAAATCTCAGCTTTCAATGAAATATTAGTTTCAAAGAAAAACTGGATAGTGAAAAATTAAAGGGATTCTTGGAGGCTCGATTTTATCGCTTTATTGTTTTTGTTAAATTCGAAGACACTTGTTGTAGCCTTAACTTCGTGATAATCTTAAAAAGCGAAATTTTGGCCCAGTTATTTTACCTTGCATTGAATGTAAGCTCTGGAAAAATTAGCCTGAATTCTCTATTGCTTTTAACAAGATTTGTCATGTTACATCAACTAATTGCTTAAGAGC